TATGTCGCTGGACTCCCATGTAGTCGACTGCAGTTCGAGTCCCGAACCTGGAGGCTTAAACTCACGCCAGGTGCATGTGCATGCGTGCCCAAGATCCCAAGAGGAGAATGGAGGAGAAGGGAGTACAGCATGGCTGTCCCCCATGGGGGGTGATTTCTCGCTTTCTGTCTCTCTGTCTCTCTCTGTCTGTCTGGCGAGCACACGCGCCTTATAGCAAAAACCTCTCAAAAAAAAAAAAAAGATAATGGCAAGCTAATATACATTAATGTTCTTCAACTCTTAGTGCTAAAATTTTGATCATTTTTTTCCTCAAATTTATTATGTTTTCTTTATTTTTAAGCTAAAAGTTACTTTTTAAAAAGATAATGGCAAGATGGGACCAGCAGTTAGCGTAATAGCTATGTCGCTGGACTCCCATGTAGTCGACTGCAGTTCGAGTCCCGAACCTGGAGGCTTAAACTCACGCCAGGTGCATGTGCATGCGTGCCCAAGATCCCAAGAGGAGAATGGAGGAGAAGGGAGTACAGCATGGCTGTCCCCCATGGGGGGTGATTTCTCGCTTTCTGTCTCTCTGTCTCTCTCTGTCTGTCTGGCGAGCACACGCGCCTTATAGCAAAAACCTCTCAAAAAAAAAAAAAAAGATAATGGCAAGCTAATATTAGACTTTTGTTTAAAAATATCTTTATTCTTAAGTCCCAAATTCTTCTGTTTATCAGAATAAGAGCTCCAGACTGGTAGCACTTCAATATACCCTAGTAATATGGCATTGATAACACTATTTAAAAGTATTAAATATTATAAAAGAAGCATATATCCTGATTTAAAACACACATGCACACACACACACACACACACACACACACACACAGAGCATGAGATGCTTTGTTAAAGTGCTTTATTTTGGCCAGCCAGTGGCCTGGTGATTAAGACAGCTATAGCCCACATACCAACCACATGGTTTGAGTCTTATAAGCCAGTGGCTTAAGAAACCTGTTGGGTGCATGTATGTGCATACATGCTCAAATCCTGAAACGTGGGAGAACTGGAGGACGATGGATTGTGAAGTGAACATTCCCCATGGGGATGCTTTCTCACATTCTCTCTCTCTGGCCAGTGTGTGTGCCCTCTGGCAAAAATGTTGTTAAAGGTGCTTTGTTTAGCTTTATTCTAGTCCTAAACCTGAAGATAAATTAATGCCCTTAACCTTAACATACATTAAATATAATAGAAGAAAGAGCTATTTTGAACTTTTAATTATGTATCCTTATTTATGTTTGTTTTGAAGGAGTTTAAGAGTGCTTTATATTAAATAATATAAAGCTTACTCATGAAAATCCTTTAATAATGTATTTTTCAAGTACATAGCTTGAATTTACAACATAAGAAACCATTACAATTTTATTAACTGCTCGTTTGACTTTGAATGTTGTCCTTCATTTTCCTTAAAATATGTATGTTACTATTTCATAAAATTGATAATATGACTATTGTTTTAAACTTTATCCATTACAAACCAGTTTTTGAATGGGAGATAGGAAGAATAAGGGCACAACTCAGATGCTAAGATATGCTCTTAAGAAGTATAAAGGGATTTCAGAAAGTTTGTGAAAAAATAAAATTGAAGGACAAGTTTATTTTGGTTCAAAAAAATTTGAAATCCATGCATAGATTTGTCATAATATGCACTTTTCATGAACTTTTTGAAAACTCCTTGTTTGTGCATAACAGTCCTTGCCCAATTGGTAGCATCAAGATATCATAAAGAAGACATATAAGAAATTAACATATATTTCATATATTCAAATGAACTATTATGTTATAAGTGTATGCATTTTATCAATAATCTTTCTCTAGATAGGTTGGAAAAAGAAATGATCCAGTTTTTACTTAGGATGTTTCTCTCAAGACTAGTCATTATCAGAATTGTTTAGTTAAGAATTTCCTTTGAGGAGCCAGCAGGTGGCATGGTGGTGAAGGCCTTGGACTCGGACATGGTTGACCTGGGTTTGGGTCCCAGACCTGGTGGTTTGATTTCTCACTCTCTCTCTCTCAAGTGCACATATCCTGTAGCAAATTTAAAAGTAATAATAATAGTAATAAAATAAAATTAAAATAAATCTTTTAAAAACTTTCTTTGATTTGTTAATATATTTTCTTTTTTAAAAATTTATATTTTAAAGTTTTCTCCTGCTTTGCTTCTTTGTTTTGTTTTGTTTTGTTTTAAGCAGACAACACATACCTCTTCACTGTCATAAAAAACTCTAGATCTTAGTTAAGAAAAAATAAATCATAGTACAAGTTATGATTAACTTTGATCAACTTGCAAAAAGAAATAAAGTTAAATAGATTTATCACTTACTTTACACAATGATCCAGGTCCATTGTCTTCTTTAATCCTAACAAGAACCATTGGAGAAAAAAATACATAAAGATGAGGACAGGACAGTGATATTATTTCTGTTGTCACAGAACTGGTAGAAGGACGGCTTGAAACTTTACATTTAGTTTACATTCAAATTTCGAGAATCTGGGCCAGCAGGTGGCATGGTGGTTAAAGGCACTGGGTTCCCATATGACCAACCACAGTTTGAGTCCCAGTCTTGGTGGTTTGATTTCTCTCTCTCTCTCTCTCTCGCTGTGCGTGTGTGTAATCAAATTAAAAAATAATAATAACAAATGGAATAAAATAATAATCAAAAATTTTTTTTCAAGAATCCATCCTCTAGTGAACGACTATTTCTAAGAAAGAACAGTACAGTTCTTTAAAACAATAGCTCAGCTAAAATTTCCTTTCACTGGAATATATAACACATAAAGACATGAGACCCAAGAACAAGGTTTGTATTTCCTGACTTCATATTAAAAGGATGACACTAGAATTTAAGTGATTCAAGACCTGGTTTTTCTTGTTCATCAGAGAAAATAATCTCCACAAATCAGAGACTATTTGTTTTACTTGCTGCTGTAAACCTGGCACTAAGACCAATGGCCAACATATGATAGGAGCCCAATAAATAATAGAGTGAATGCATCGAGATCTCACAAGTAGTACCGCAGTGGCTGCCTCCTGTAATTTAGGCTTTGGGGGAGAAGCTAGGAGTAAAGTGGAGTTGCGGGTGTCTCAGAGCACTGATATACAACAGCGGCTCTTACTCCCAGTTTTCAGAGTCCTAGCATTTACTTATATATTTACCATCTGTGAATTTAACTACTGTATTTTCCCAAATCCAAGAAACCATTTACAGCAAGAAAAACCATCATTATATTAGGTAGTAAGAAAAGAAAGGAAGAACAGCAAGCAAGAAGGAAGGAAGTCTAACCATAACAATTTTTAAATGTCATTATTTATAAGACATGTATCAGTTTCTAAGATGTTAAAGTATAAAAAAGACACATTGGGGCCAGCAGGTGGTGGGTGGTTAAGGGTGTTGGACTCTTACATGGTCAAGCATGGTTCAAGTTCCAGACCTGGTGGCTTGCTTTCTCACTTTCCCTCTCTCTCTCTCTCTTGCTCTGTCTCAATCTGGTCAAATTAAAATAAATAAGTAAATAAAGTTAAATAAAATAATTCTTTGAAAGAAAGAAAAAAGACGCATCGTAGAGTCAATGAAATGCAGTATTTATCCTCAGATTTTCACTGTTGATGAGTTGCATCATTTACATTAAACAAGAAATACAATTAAAATGATGTAAATAAGAAAAAACTAAGTATAGAAAGGTTTGGGGAATTACTTAAATTTTTCTCCTACTGCTGGGCATGAGTGAAATGAATGATTTGAAGATTACAGTTGTTCTAATAATTTCTGAAGATTATTTTAGCTGTACATAATTTATATCCTAAGTGCTGACTTTAAAATCTAAATTTTCCTTTGACCTTAAGAATGACTTCTAGATATAAACTGATTTCTTAATATTTTAAGACTGTAAATTATAGCTATAACAAAGGAATAGCATTTATGTACCAGTCAAATTTGTTTTACAAAAACTCTCTTTTACCTTACTTGATGTCATAATCCAAAACAATTTTAACAGCTCTTAATTACATTTTCCAAATCATTCCTCCATGCTTTTTAGACAATTTCACTCATTCTTGTTGTCTAAGAAAACACATTGTGAGTACCTTCAGAGTTCCTTAAACAGCTCCTTGCCATGCAAATTTTCCTGAATCAACACGAGGTAACAGGGATAAAAGATTTCACTGTTTTTGCTGAGATTTTCTAACCCCTAAACAGACAACTTGGCCTTACATACATAAGCCTTAGCTAGTGGCGCCAAATCACACAAAGCCATTTTTTAAGATGTCTGGTCTGTGCTATCAATCCTTTTACCTTAGGCAACCCCTTTTTTGCTGGTTAAGTGCTAACACATGCTTTACAAGTGCAGGAAGGGATACGGTTTACAGATTAAAATTAGATGCAGAATTAAATTGCTAGAACACAGCAAAATAGAAGTGGGTGGTGGATGGGTTGGAGAAGACAATTTGAGCATGCCAATACTCACACACACTTAATTCCAAAACTTGGATTTCCATAAACTTCTATTAAAATTCTTAGGTTCAGGTTCTTCTTTCATTACTGAGAGTCATTTTTAGAGCAAGAACACATAGAATCTGTCAAGGAGTAGGCTGGCCCATGAAAATGCATGGTCAAATTATGGAATTTACAGCCAGGAGAGATCAGTAAGTCAAATTCCAGAGCTCCTTTTAGAAAGCCAAGCAGAGTAATTTAATGACTACTAATGACATTGGTAACTTTTCAAGCTACTATAAGAGTAATCAGATCTCAGGCTTCAGGGTGTAACATGATCACCTGTGCTTTTCAGAAAGGAATTTCTGTACACACTGACAGTGTTGCACAGCTGCCCAGGCATATTATTGGTAATGTCAGAAGGAAGGGGAGGGGAGATTACCTTTCTCCAAATCATTAAATGCCTTTCGAACTTAGTAAACACAAACTAACATAGCAATTAAGATGGATTTGTCTTTGTTCAGCCAACGATGGCAGCTGTTGTCTAAAGATTTAAAACCTTAACTCCTGGAAAAGACAGAAAGTTGTTTTTAATATGGATTTTCTTGGTTTTGAATATAAGGTCATAAGATTAAAAATTATTTACTTGTTCACTCCACAGATAAGTGTTGGGCACCCATTGCTGGCACTGGGCCAATTGCTGGTGGATACACCATGGTAAGTATAGATGCAGTCATTGCTTCCTGGGAACTTGAAGTCCAGAGGCAGAGGAAAGTATCAATCACACAGTTATAATGACAGCGCTCTAAAGTAAAAGGCCATGGAGCAAAAGGAAGACCACCAGAACATTAAGAAAAGAAAAGAAAATTAAAAAGGACCAAAGTTGAATCGTATTAACTTACAAAGCAAGGAAACACATACCAGGGAGGAAAGCCATTGAGTTGTTTACACACAGGGAGAAGTTACAGATTTTTAAGCTCTAGATAGGGATATTCTTGTTAATTTTGTAAATAAGGATTGAAAGCTAGTTCCCTGGATTAGGTGGTTGAGATCTGTGCATGGGTAAAACAAATCTCATAGTTGATTGGTCAATGAAGAGTCCTCGGTTAGGTACAGTAAAGGTTTAGTGTACCAAGGTCAAGGTCATTCAAAGTTCATGGCCTTTTATGAGCTTCAATTTGTGATGAAATTTGAGTTAGATATTTCCAAAGCAAGTACTGCTCTAGTAGAAAAATTTCCACTAATACATGTAAAAAATAAGTGGTGAAGAAATGAGGGTATATGTCAGAAGAGGGAGATGGCATCCCAGGCAGAGAGAAAAAACAAGGGCAGAAACCCAAAACTGGGGGAAAACAAGGAAGTTCAGGGGAGAGACAGAGACCATGACTGAATAGAGCAGATCTTTGTTACCTGAAGCTGAGTTGGTGGCCCTTGGCAAGGTGATAGAGGAATGTGAGTCATATTAAAACATTTTGGTCCAATGTCCTAAGAGCAATAAGAATTTACTGAAGGATCTTAAAGAGTAAGAGCATTTGTTGGATGGTAATGGATGATCTGATTTATGTCTCCAAAACACACTGGGTACAGCATGAATGATGAATGCAAGGGTTTGCTAGTTGAGTGCTCATATGCCACTGAGGAGGCCATTGTCATTGCTCAGATGGAAGATGATGGAATTAAAGACTAAGAGTTTCAGGATATCTGGATGAGCTTACAATGAAAGAGAGTGAGAATGTCAGAGGAAAGGATCATCCAAGGCACCCAAATCTCAAACTGCCCAAAGTCCCAAAAATATAGTATTTAACCCTTAATTCAGTGCTTTCCCCATCTTGGAGGTTGGGTTGGCAACCCCATCGTCCTCATCACCTGACATTTATGCTCTTGTGTAACCCCTCCCCCTGAGTGTGAGCTAGATAGTACAACTTAATTCTAATGAACAGAATGCACCGGAAGCCATGAGATCACTTCTAAGATTAGGTTACAAAACATATCATTTCTGTCTCAGTGGTTCTCATCTGCTCACTTCTGCACACTCCCTGTGGAGATGCTGGCTGCTGAGTCAAGAGGCAGTCTGATGGAGAGGCCATGTAGCAAGGGATTGAGCAGCCATGTGAGTGAGCTTATAAGTGGATCCACCTCAACTCTCCTTGACATGACTAAAGCCTTAGGAGAAGCCTGAACTCAGAAGAACCCTGCCAAGCCACATCAGGCCCACAGAAATCATGAGGTAAGAAATGCTTGTTTCTTTAAGCTGCTCATATCTGGGGTATTTGTTACACAGCATTAGATGACCAATGTAGAGAGCATGATGGTTAAGCCATAAGTTTGCCTTCTGGGTATTTTTTTTAAGTTTATGTATTCCTCCTGAGAGAGAGACAAAGAACACCTCCAGTAGAGTCTTCATGGCACAATCTACCTTTGACTTCAGCCAACCAGGTTTATGAACACACATGCCCCACATCTACAGGAATACCTTAGGACACAAACCCGGGATTTTCCAATGTGATTTCAGCATCACAGATCATTACATCATCCCACTACCACCACAGCTGACCAATGGTTTGCCCTTCTTACATCACATTCACTATTTTCTTTTTAAATCTCCAAACATACCGCTTTACCCTTCTTACTGTTTTATTTCATTTCATGTTTCCATACCACATCCTTCATTAAAATATTTTTTGCAGTAATCACTGTACATATGGATACAGGGGAAAGTTTAAATTGTTTTAGCTTCAATGTTTTGGAGACTGATAAAAAAGAATTAGGATATGATGTCTTTATAAAGGGATTCTACTTCAGCAAATTTGTTACTTTCAAAGACTTGATAAGCTCAAAGTACAAGCAACATATTTATCTCCTCTGTTTCATTAATTTATGATTCTTATTAAGTAAAAGTAACGGCTTCCGATGTTTGCTGTAATTAAGTTAATAATAAGAGAAAGCAAGTTTATGTACCTCATTTATGGTATTTGGCTACTACAAAATAAAATGAACAGGACTGGCCCAGAGCCTAGTGGTGAAGGGAGTCAGATCCCTGGTTCAAATTGTAGCTCTGGGGGCTTAAGAAATGCAGTGGGATGGAGCCAGCAGATAGCGAAATGGTTGCATTGCTGGACTCCCACATGGCTGACTGGGGTTTGAGCATCATGCCAGGCAAGCGTGCCTGCATGCCCAGGATCCCAGGAGAAGAATGGAGGAGAAGGGATCGCAGCATAGCTGTCCCCTTGGGAGGTGATTTCTCACTTTCCCTCTCACTGTCTTTGTCTCCTGCCCCTAAAAGCACACACACCCTAAAACCTCTTTTAAAAAGAAGGAAAGGAAAGGAAAGGAAAGGAAAGGAAAGGAAAGGAAAGGAAAGGAAAGGAAAGGAAAGGAAAGGAAAGGAAAGGAAAGGAAAGGAAAGGAAAGGAAAGGAAAGGAAAGGAAAGGAAAGGAAAGGAAAGGAAAGGAAAGGAAAGGAAAGGAAAGGAAAGGAAAGGAAGAAAAAAGAAAAGAAAAGAAAAGAAAAGAAAAGAAAAGAAAAGAAAAGACAAGACAAGATAAGACAAGATAAGACAAGACAAGACAAGACAGCGGGTACATGTACATGCTTGCCCCCAAATTCCTACAGGGTGAGAAACTGAAGGAAAAGGGATTTCAATGGACTGTGCTCCGGTGGAGACGGCTTTCTCCCTCTTCCTCTTTCTATCTCTGGCAGTGTTCATGTCTTTTGACAATGAAAACAAAACAAAACAACAACAACAAAAAAGGATGAACACTGGCTATATGTAAAATTATTTCCATGAAACCTTCCTCACCGGATAGAGCAGAGCCATAGGCTCAGGTCATTTCCACCTCATTTCTACCTCCTAGTCATTCCATCTCTACGGCCACCAGATTTCTGAGACCCTGGAGATTTCACACACACACAGTCGACCTTTACAGCTCACCAGCCGCTTTCTTTCACTTCTCCTTTCTGTTGAATTTGAGCCAATCCCGTTGGCATCCCTGTTGCTTCAGCTGTGTGCAGCAACACCCAGCAGGCCCCGCCTTCTCCTGCTGACAGCACAACCTCATCTGGTAACCACAACATGGCTGCCAAGCTCTGCCACTTCTGAGTCCCTACACTGCGGGAGTGCTGAGCCTGTCTGCCAGAGCATCACCAAGGAGAAAATTAGCAGAGAGTTTTTCAGTGTAACAGAATTATGACTTTTTCATTATCTTCTAAACCTTTAAAAGAGTGTTTCTGGTGATTCGGGTTATCTAGCATAAAATCCATAAACTCGAGCCAACTGGACCCTTTCACACGTCAAGCTCCTGCTAGATTCAGGGCTGTCCCTCATGTTAAGAACCAAGCCTTTATGATTGGCTTGAGCCAGCATTTTTGTTTGTTTGTTTTTGTTGTTGTTAGATGAAACTGTCAGCAAGGAAGTTGCTCAACTCTTTATACAATATCTTTCTAGCCTGGGAAAACATGGCCAGAATTATTTGAATAACAGTAAAGGCAACTACTTGGCCTCAGACTGGTTCTACATATCAAAGTAGAGTCATCTGTACCCTTCATTTCTTCCAGTTAACAAGAACACCAACAAGGACCAAAACAAAAAGTAGTAAATATCTCCAAATGTTGTGGTAAAAGCCTTGAATGATAAAATTGGGAAACCTATTATTCAGCTCAGTCCTACCATGAACTACTTTTCTGATGCAAACCAAGCTGATGTTTTTCCAGAATCTTCCATGCCAATAATTTCCTTCCATGCCAAATAAGAAAAAAATGAAGTTTCTAGAATAGTTGATCCCTAAACTCCCTTGCAACTCAAAATCTCTATAATTAAATAGAAAAAAAGAAGTATTTGCCAAACTTATTTTTAAAAATTGTATAAATCTTAGAAATTTTGCTTTACATTTAAAAAAATTATTTTTATTATTTTAAGTTCTAATTTACATGTAATAGTTATATACTTTATGGGGTACAATGAGGTTTTGACAAAACATTTATCCATTGTTTATTGATCAAATCAAGGTGATAAACATATCCATAATCTCAAGCATTTATTATTGTTGTGTTGTACACATTCAAAATCACTCTTGCATTTTGTGTTATCTGTTGAATTGTCACCATCTACTGTTACTCCACTGTGCTATGGTACTCTGGAACTCATTCCACTTATTTACCTGCACTCTTGTATCTATTAATGATGTTAATACCCTTCTCTTTCCAACCATTACAGTCTCAATGTTTTCTTCTTTTTATAAATTTGCTAGAGGGTGCACGTGCTCGCTGGAAAGAGACAGAGAGAGGGAGAGATAGGGAAAGTGAGAAAGCACCCCCAGGGAGGATAACATACCATAATCCTTGCTCCTCCATCACTCCTTCCTTTTGGAATCTTGGGCATGCAGGCACATACGCCTGCCATGTTTTTTTAAGGAACTACATCTGGGACTCAAGCTGTGTAATTGGCCATATGGGGTCCAGCCACCTAACCAGTGCACCACCATCTGACTCTATATTCTCCATTTCCATGTAATTGAATATTTAACTTTCACATTACGTGAAAACATAGGGTGTTTTTCAGTGCCTGATTTGTTTTACCTAGCATTATTTTTTCTAGGTTTGTCCATATTCTCCCAAATGCCTGGATTTCATTCTATTTTATAGTTAAATAATATTTCATTGTTTGTACATGTCACAGTTTCCTTTATCCAATCGTTAACTTATAGGCACTTAGGTAGATTCTATATCTTACCTATTGTCAATAGTGCTTCGTTGATAATGTTTTTTTAATGCACATTGATTTTCAATCACATATGAAAATCATTTATTCAACCAACATATAAAGCAGAGGCAAAATCATTTGTTGGCTAGCATGAATAACCAGGTTAGTCACTTTAAAATATACGAGTAAGATGAAAACAAAATAAAACTTTAAAGAAAATGAAATAGTAAGTATACGTGAATGAAATGATTAGAAAAATGGGAACAAATGTAACCCTGATGTTTCCACCTTTGTTCCACCTCATTTCCACTCTTGGAGGAAGCCCATGGCAGGTTATGGTTTCTTGCTGTTTTTCTTCACACTAGGAATTCGCCATGAGGTGGAACTCTCGCTTCAGGCCAATAGAAGAAAAAAAAGGGGGGGGGGACTT